GGCACAAGCTGACAAGTTGCCATTAGTACACGCTGCTGCACTCCCCCACGTGCATCCCCCAGTTCTGACCATTTTGCTTTGTTCAGTCCTCTCCATTTCTTTTGGGCTATGTCATCATTTGCCTAGATAATGCTTCCTCCATGAAGCCTCCTTTGACTTCCTCCATCAGAAGCAAGCACTGGATGCATGTAAATCAATGAAGTTAGAACACTCCTTTACACCATACACCACAATAAACTCAAAATGGCCTAAAGACTTAAAAATAAGACATGCCACAGTGAAACTCCTGGAACACAGGGAACACAATCTCTGACATGCTGTGCTGTGCTAAGTTGCTTCAGTTGTGTCCGACTCTCTGTGACCCCATGGACTGTAGCCCATCAGGCTCCTCTATCCACGAAATTCTCCATGCAAGAACACTGGAGTGGACTACCATGCTCTCCTCTAGGGGTCTTACCGACCCAGGGATTGAACCTGCAGTTTCTGCACTGCAGGCGGATTCTTTACCACCAAGCCACCTGGGAAGCCTCTTCTCTGACATTAATAGTAGCAATATTTTCTCAGATCAGTCTCCAAAGGAAATAAAAGCAAAAATAAACAAATGGGACCAAATCAAACTTTTAAGCTTTTGCACAGTAAATGAAACTGTAAACAAAACAAAATGACAACCTATGGAGTGGGAGAAAAAATTTGCAAATAACATGACTGACTGACAAGGGCTTAATTTCTAGAGTATATAAACAGTTCATACAACTCAGTATCAAAAAACAACCCCATCAAAAAATGACCAGAAGACCTAAATAGACATTTCTCCAAAAGAGACATACAGATAGCCAACAGGCACATAAAAAGATGCAAAACATCACTAATTATTAGAGAAATGCAAATCAGAGCTGCAATGAGGTACCCCCTTACACCAGTCAGAATGGCCATCATCAAAATGTCTACAAATAGTGGTACATATGTATAATGGAATGCTACTCAGCCATAAAAAGAATGAAACAATGCCATTTGCAGCAACATGGATGGACACAGAGATTGTCATCCTGAGTGAAGTCATACAGAGACAAGTATCATACGATATCGCTTGTAGGTGGAATCTAAAAAAATGGTTCAGGGACTTCCCTGGTGGTTAAGATTCTGCTCTCCCAATGCAGGGGGCCTGGGTATGACCCCTGGTCAGGAACATAATCCCACGTTCTGCAGCTAAAAGTTCATATGCTGCAACTAAAGGTCCCACATACCACAATGAAGATGGAAGATCCCGAATGCCGCAACTGAGACCTGGCACAGCCAAATAAATAAATAAAAACAAATATTTAAAACATTAAAATGGTACGAACAAGCTTATTTGCAAAACGGAAATAGAGTCATACATGTAGAAAACAAGCTTATGATTACCAGGGGAAAGCAAGGGGTGGAGGGAGGATAAAATAAGTAACTAGGAAGGACCTACTGCATAGCACAGTGAACTCTTCTCAATACTCTATAATGACCTATATGTGAAAAGAAACTAAAAAGAGTGGACATACATATAACATTCATTTTGCTGTACAGCTGAAACTAACAACACTGTAAATCAACTATTCTCTAATTAAAAAGTTCTTAAAGTGTACAAAGAATAAATGCTGGAGACGGTGTGGAGAAAAGGGAACCCATCTACACTGTTGGTGGAAATGTAAATAGGTGTAGCCACTATGGAAAACATCATGAAAGTTCATTAAAAAATGAAAAACAGAGTTACTATACGATCCAGCAATCCCACTCCTGGGCATATATCCAGAAAAGATGAAAACCCTAATTCAAAAAGATACGTGGACCCCATGTTCACAGCTTCCCAGGTGGCACAGTAGTAAAGAATCCACCTGCCAATGCAGGAGACACAAGAGATGCACATTTGATCCCTGGGTCAGGAAGATCCCCTAGAGAAGGAAATGGCAACTCACTCCCAATATTCTTGCCTAGGAAATCCCAAGGACAGAGGAGACTGGTTGGCTATAGTCCATGGGGTCGCAAAAGAATTGGATGTGACTTAGCAAGTAAATAACAACAAATGTACATACACACACAGTGGAATATCACTCAGCCATAAAAAAAGAGTGAAATATTGCCACTTGCGCAACACTGGGTGGACCTAGAGATGATCAGACTAAGGGAAGTAAGCCAGACAGAGAAAGTCAAATATAAATGATATCACTTATATGTGGAATCTAAAACATAATACAACGGAACTTACTTACAAAACAGAAAGACTCACAGACACAGAAAACAAAATTATGGTCACCAATGGAAGAAAAGAGGGGGAGAAATAAACGAGGAGTATGGGATGAACAGATACACACTACTGTATATAAAATAGATAAAAACGGTGTACTGTATAGCACAGGGAACTATATTCAACATCGTGTACTAATCTATAATGGAAAATAATCTGAAAAAGGATATATCTATATATGTGTGTATATACATATATATGCAAATCACTCTGCCATATACCTGAAACTAACATGATATTGTAGATTGGCTATACTTAGGAAAAAATAATAATAAACAAGTAAATTTTAAAACATTTTAACAAGAAGCAATCACTGGCGCATCTCCCCCTGCCCCTGCCTCTTCATATTAAGGTTGCCTGGTTACTTACTGTGTGCCGTGTCAAGAGGCTGTAGTTTCTGCTGGTGGCCCTGCTGCCCATCCAGGGCCTGACCCAGCCGGCAGCCTTTGGACCTCCTTGCAGTTCTGACTTTGTCCATTAGATGGCACAAGATGTCTGTGGCTGGGCCCATTGATCCCAGACATCAAGGGCACCCTTGGGGTCTTTTTTTTTACCTGAAGCCTGCAAGTGAAGATCTAAAATTTGTTTTGTTTTGTTTGGCCGTGCCACACAACTTGTGGGATCTTAGTTCCTGGACCAGGGATAGAACTCAGGCCCTCAGCAATGAAAGTACGGGGTCCTAACCACTAGACCGCCAGGGAATTCCCTGCAAGCAGAGAACTTTACAGAAGATCCTTACCCCCCTTCCTAGACCGGGAACCAGGCCCAGAGAGGAAGAGGACCTGGTGAGGCCACACAAGTTCAGCCCCTGCCACGGGCTGCTTTTCTGCAGTGTGGAATGGGCTGCCCCCACATCCTGCTCAAGTAAACTCAGGCCTCCCCTGCAGTCACAGCTGGGGGCTTGGCTGAGCTTAGATCCCCAGGGTGAGCTGGCAGGCTGAGTTGTTGGGCTTCCTGCCCACAGATGGTGGCCACATGCTGGTTGAGGGGCTGTCCAGCTCAATCTCCAGCTAGACATTGGCCCCTGGCCTGGGTTACAGGCTGAAACATCTCCCCAGGGAGATGGATGCAGAGGGGCTCCACCCTTCCAAGGACCCAGGATATGACCACCATCATGGCAGCCGCTGCACAAGCACCTCTCACCAGTTTATAGAGCCTGGTACCCTTAAGGTGGCTGGTCCCTGGCTCTGGAAGGAGGAGACTGAGACCCAGAGAGGGAAAGGCCTTGCCCAAGGTTCTTCAGGGGATCCAGAGTCAGGACGGTCTCCCTGAGTAGACCCTTGATCAATCCCAAGTCCAGGGGGCACATATATTTCCAGAGGAGATGGGGAGAGGGAGACAGGGAGACAGGTTTCCAGGTCCCTGGGTCCTTCTCATATTGACTCAAGAGACTGATTTGTTTCCAAAATTAAAAAAAGAGAGAGAGAGAGATTGATCGATTTCCCTTTGAGAAATGAGCTAGAAAGGGAGGTGGGGTCCCAGTACATTTAGGAGCAAAAAAAAGGGGGGGGGGTTTCAGGAAGGGGCAGGATAGAGCAAGTCCTGTTCTCAGTCTGCTATGTGGCCTGGACCACCTCTTTCATTCTCTGATGCCATTTGAGGGTTCAGGCTGGTCTCTCCAGGAGGCCTAACTTACAAAAGTTTCTAGAATCCTGGGAGCACCAGGATTTTGGCTCAAGGTTGAAATCTTAGCACCCAAGGCTTCAGATTCTGAGTGTAGGGGTCTGGAATTGGGTGGAGTGGCAGCTGTGGAGGGTGGATACAGGGACTACTGTTGAGGGGATGTATGGGGAGTCTCCTCGAGTGTCCTTATTCAGCCTCTCAGCCTCATCTCCCCTCTTGTCGCCATTCTGTGACTCTCCTGTCCCCTGGATCAGCGCTCAGAGCAGAGGGAATGGGGGCATGAGCACCCTCCCTCTACCTTAACTCCTGAAGAACCATAGATATAGGGCCTACAGGCAGAGGGGAACTCTGGGAAGAACCCACCACTCAACTGGTGATGCTCTGGGCCCTGGGGCTCTGGGAGAACTGGAGGAGGGAGGTGGGGCAATGGGGGCTTCTCTGGCACAAGTGAATCCTGTTCCCTGCCCCAGTGAAATGGGATGTGGGGCCTGGAGGCCAGACAGGAATAGGCCTGGGTGGAGAAGTCTGGCCATTCATCTGTTGCCAATTTCAGATCTGTAAAGTGTGGCCAGACCTCAAGTTCTCTTCCAAAGCACAGAGTCCCTTGGCTGGAATGAGTATCCCTAGGCAACCTGGGCCCTGCCAGGGGAGCTGGGGAGCCAGGCCAAGGCTTCAGGGGGCTGGACTCTTGGTGTCAGGGACCTGGGCACAGAATCAGCCTGTGGGGGGGCGGGTCTCAGTCATGGGCAGTGGAGGGGCAAGGAGCAAACGAGAGCCCAGCTAGACCACCCACCCAGCCCATCAACCTCTGATCTTCCTTTCAGGCCATCTCTCCCCCTTGACATTTTGCTAGAGCCGAGGGACTTGGGTTTATGGACAACTCCATATAAACCATCCATAGCCCGGCCAGACCAAAAGTCTCCCAAATGGAGAACCAGCTATTCTGACACAGAGCCACCAACTGGGCCAGCTGAGGCGGAGGGAGAGGCAGCAGGTGGATGGCAGGGCACTTGACCCCTCCCTCCTCCCCGCCTTGGACGGGGTGGAGCCGCTGCCTTATAAGTAGCAGAAGCAGGACTGGCGGCAACTGAGCAGACTACAACCAGCGGCAGCGGCGGGACCCAGGGCAGCTCTGCAAGCGGCTCGGTGCCCCCATTCCTCAGCATGGCCCCCTCAGCCTGGGCTGTCTGCTGCCTCCTGGGGGGCCTCCTCCTCCGGGGGGGCAGTCCCAGCCCAGGCCCCAGCGTGCCCCGCCTGCGGCTCTCCTTCCGAGGTAGGGCAGTGCACTCTGTGTGTGTGTCCATGCAGCCCCTGACCCTGCTATACCCCAGGTGTGGGCCTCTAGCCTGCCCCAGGCACTCTGCTCTGCCAGCCGGAGGAGGGATTCAGCCACTCCTAGCACAGCCGGCGGGAAGGACTTTACAGTTATTCCCGGCCATGTGCTCCCTGCTGGCCGCCAGAGGCTCCTGGGAGGAAGGCAGGGGGAGGGAGGGGAGACCAATCCTGGCAGATGGGACCAGGGTGGAGGTGGGAGACAGAGACATACTGGGGGAGAATCTGAGTGAGGGGGCTGTTGAGAAAAAGAGAGGGACCTCAGCGGAGAATGGCAGAGAGAAATGGGGAGGGGGCAGAGAGGGCAAGTCTGGAGAATCTGGCTGCTCTCAGCTGGGCTCCTTGCCCAGGGCAGACAGTGGGGAAGAGGGCAGAATCCTGTCCCTCTCGTCCCGTGCGCCCTGCAGTGGGGCCCCTCAGCCGATCCCCACAGCCCTGTTCCCACTCCTACCCCTGGCAGCCCACTTTGTAACGCTGGCCTTTCCTCTTCCCCTCCATCCGTGAGGCTCTGTGTCGCTTCCCTTCCTTGCCCATCCTGGTCCAGGCGGTTCCTTTACAGATCTAACCTGGAATGTTGTGCTGCAGCTGGCACAAGCCTCTTCTGAGTCTGATGAGACACAGGCTTGCCACAGAGTTTTCTTTCTGGGGAAACCAGAGGGATGGTCACCTTCCCCCAGGAACCCCAGCCCAAGGGAGACTCAGGCCTTCTCTGGAGAGTTGGGGGGCGGGGGACCTGGCTCCACTCTGGAGTCTGAATGGAGTGCGGTGGGGGTGGGGAGGAAGAGGGGGTGGAATGGGGTCCTGCCCTGGGAGCTGTGGCTTTGGGGAAGTCAGGCTACAAGATAAGGTCCAAATAGGGCATATCTATTCCAAAGTACTGTCAGTCATGGAAGCCTTCCTGGAAGAGGCTGTTAATGAGTTTGGGGATAGAAAAGATGACCTTTGGGTCAGGCTTGGGTATCCCACCTCCTCAAGGGTGGCCAGACATCCTGCTGTTTTTTCTCACACCCATGTCCTCCAGCTACCTAGTTGGACCCCAAAGACCTATTTCAGGACTCCCACCTCCTGGGATCATCATCCGCAGACAGCCACCTCCATTCCTGGGTAGGCAGCGTCTATGGAGGAGAAAACCCTCTTTAGTCATATCCTTGGACCAGAGCCTAGAGATCTACCTGGCCGTACCTGGCCTCTCCCACACCCAGGCCTTAGGCAGATGCTCCCTCTGCTGGGAACGCTCTCCCCGTCTGTCTGTCTGTCCCACTGAGTCAGCTTTGTATGCTGCTCAGACCACCGAACCTTCCACCAGGCTCTCCCAGCACTTCACCCAGCTTGCAGCCTTAAGTTCTTTTGGTGGGGCCATCTTCCTTCAGGAGCCGTTAGAGCACAGATGGGCGGGGGGGAAGGAGATGTTAACTGAAGACCAGGGGGCCATGGAGTGGAGGGAAAGGGGGCAGGCCTCTGGGTGGGCTGGGCTGGGTGGGGGGCTCCGAGTCCCCTGTCCCACCCACTCCCAGGAGTCACTTCCCAGAAGCCCTCCAGCAGCCCTCTGGATGGAAACACTTTCCAGATGTGAGCATGTGGGGGGCGGTAGATGCACAGCTGGGACCCTCCACCTCCACGCACTGGCTGGAGGAGTGGATGAGCAGCAGCCCTGAAGCCCTCCCTCGGCTCCCTCCTAGACCTCCTGTCTGCCAACCGCTCTGCCATCTTTCTGGGCCCCCGGGGCTCCCTAGACCTTCGGGCCCTGTACCTAGACGAGTACCGGGACCGCCTGTTCCTGGGGGGCCGTGATGCCATCTACTCTCTGAGGTTGGACCAGACATGGCCGGATCCCCGGGAGGTGAGCTGGACTGTTTGGGAAGCAACTCTCTCTGAGGGCTAGGTGACTCCAAATGGGAGGCTGACTGGGGCAACTGAGGCTGTGAGGTCAGGGGTCAGCCAGGCTGGCTGTGTTTCAGGTCCTGTGGCCACCGCAGCCTGGACAGAGAGAGGAGTGCGTTCGCAAGGGAAGAGATCCTTTGGTGAGTGCTATCTGGAGGGACTGCCCCCACCCTGACCAACACCCAGGCCCTAACCCCAGGAAAGCCTGGGGCTGCTCCCCAGGTGCCTGAGCTGGGGCCACATGGAGCAGATCTTGATGGTCTAGTAGAATCTCCCCTCACCCTAGATCCATCCCCCCACCCCCTGTCTCCCCCTAGGTGGAGTGCGCCAACTTTATACGGGTGCTGCACCCCCACAACCGGACCCACCTGCTGGCGTGTGGCACTGGCGCCTTCCAGCCCACCTGTGCCCTCCTTGCTGTTGGGCATCGTGGAGAGGTGAGCTGCAGCGGCCCACAAAGGGCTGGGAAGCCGTGACATTTTCTCCTGCTGTCTGAATTCTACCCATTGAGCCTGGGTCAGGGCAGAGGGGTCAGAGCCTGAAAGGCGCCTTTGTGCCAGGGAGCCACCCCTACTGGCGAGGTCCTGAATGAGGGCGCCTTCCACCCACCCCCACTGTCCAGCCGCACGCAATGGCCGCTGCCTGGGTAGGGGGCGGGCACTGTTTTCTCAGGTAACACCTCTCCCTCCCTCCCTCTCCCCAGCATGTGCTCCATCTGGAGCCCCGAAGCGTGGAAAGTGGGAGGGGGAGATGCCCACACGAGCCCAGCCGTCCCTTTGCCAGCACCTTTGTAGGTGGGTGACACCCAGGCCAGGGCCGGCATGACAAGGGTGGGGGTTGGCCAGCATCATTGGGAAGGGATGGGCCGGGTTCAGGGACTGGCCCTCCTCCCCTGACTCTGCCCCCTACCCCCACCCTAGGAGGGGAGCTGTACACAGGCCTCAACGCCGATTTCCTGGGGCATGAGGCCATGATCTTCCGGACTGGGGGTTCCCGACCAGCCTTGCGTTCTGACTCTGACCAGAACCTCCTGCACGGTGAGCTCAGGGCTCTGCGAAGGGCAAGGCTGACTGGGTTCTGCCCCTGGCACTGACAGGGAGGTGGGAGTGGGGACCGGAGGGGCAGCCCATCCCCGCTCTACTCCCTAAGACCCAGTGGGGTCCCTGGGGTCCCTGCGCCTCTTCTCCTCCTCATTGGTTCACCCCTGCCCTGTTCCTCCCCGTGAGGGCCCTACCAACTCCTCCCTATTACCTCCCAGACCCCAGGTTTGTGTTGGCCGCCCGGATCCCTGACAACTCCGACCCAGATGATGACAAAGTGTACTTCTTCTTCTCGGAGACGGTCCCCTCGCCTGACGGAGGCCCGGGCCGTGTCACCGTCAGCCGAGTGGGCCGCGTCTGCGTGGTGAGAGCTGTGGAAGGGACAGTGAGGTTTGAATCCTGGCCATACGTGTCTTCCCAGCCCTGTCCCCACCTGAAACAGTAGGCGAACTGAGGCGAGGGTGTGGGGCTGACATCCACGCCTCCCTCCAAGGGTGAGGGTGGAGGAGCAGGAAGCGGGGGGCCTGTCCTCGGGCCCCAAGGCTGACTGGCCCCCACCTCCAGAATGATGCGGGCGGCCAGCGGGTGCTGGTGAACAAATGGAGCACCTTCCTCAAGGCCAGGCTGCTCTGCTCCGTGCCTGGCCCTGGCGGTGCCGAGACCCACTTCGACCAGCTGGGTAAGGACATGGCCAGAGCACGTGGGGTGAGGGCTGGAGGGGGCTCAGAGCCCGTGAGTGGGGGGCACTGGCGGTGGCCTTCTGTCTCCCAGAGGACGTGTTCCTGCTGTGGCCCAACTCGGGGAAGAGCCTGGAGGTGTACGCTCTCTTCAGCACCGTCAGGTGGGCAGATGGCCTCCCCTCACCCCCACCCCCGGCCCTGTCTCTGCACCCTGACCGCCTCTGTTGAGCCCCTGCTCTCACGGCCCAGTCTAGCCGGGGGTCCCTGACTCTGTCCCTGACTCCGTGACTCCGTGGCTGTATTCTTTGCCTGGGTGTCCTTGTCTTTCGATCTCTGCTGACTGCAGGCGCCATCATCCTCTGTCCTCCCTATGGAACTAGGCTGCCCCCTTCCTGCCTCTGTGAACCTCCCTGGCCTGACTATTCCTGTCTGTCCCCTGCAGTGCTGTGTTCCAGGGCTATGCCGTCTGTGTGTACCACATGGCTGATATCTGGGAGGTCTTCAAGGGGCCCTTTGCCCACCAAGATGGTCCCCAGCACCAGTGGGGGCCCTATGGGGGCAAGGTGCCCTTTCCACGTCCTGGCATGGTGAATATCTGCCTGGGACCAGGGCAGGGAAGAGGGCTGAGTAGATGCTGGGAGGGGCTCTAGATGCCAAGGACAGGCTTGGGTCTGCACGAAGCCCCAGGGCAGCGGCTGGGCTGGGTGGGGTGAGGAGGGGAGCAGACCCCTGACGACACTGAGGAGTCTCTCATACAGCACGAAGCGTCCACGAGCTGTCCCTCGGAGGCTGGCGTGAACAGCCAGTGGCATCTAGACACAGACTGGGGGGGGATGTGGCAACCCAGGGGGCTTCAGGCACTCCCTCTGCCATGGCCTGCAGTGCCCCAGCAAGATGACTGCACAGCCAGGACGACCCTTTGGCAGCACCAAGGACTACCCGGATGACGTGCTGCAGTTTGCCCGAGCCCACCCACTCATGTTCCGCCCCGTGCGTCCCCGGCGGGGTCGCCCTGTCCTTGTCAAAACCCACCTGGCCCAGCAGCTACGTCAGATCGTGGTGGACCGTGTGGAGGCAGAGGATGGGACCTACGACATCATGTTTCTAGGGACTGGTAGGCGGGCTGCATGGGGTGGCTGGGCAGGGGAGGCGTGCGGGGACCCCGAGCTGCCCCTCTGCGCCTTCCTTTCCCACTGACCCCTCCTCCCTGCCCCAGACTCAGGGTCTGTGCTCAAGGTCATTGCCCTCCAGGCGGGGGGCTCTGCGGAGCCTGAGGAGGTAGTTCTGGAAGAGCTCCAGGTGTTTAAGGTGAGCAGGGGGCACTGATGGGGAGGGTTCCTGCAGGCTCCATCCCTGTGTCTAGGACTGGCTACAAGGAAGCAGGAGCAAAGTGCAGGAGGGAAATGGGCCTGTCTTTACTGAACCCGCATTCAGTGGGCAGTGGGCCTCACTATTGCAGGAGCCTTGCGATGCTTCTAAATGACTGTGGGCCTGGAGACGGAATCTGTGAGCTGAGAGGTGGGGGGCCCAGGGACAGATGGCCAAGGCAATCGCCCCTTGACAAAGGTCTGCCAGGCTCAAGTTGCAGTGAGGGGTGACTGACACCCCAAGGGGTTCTGTTGACCCCTCTACAGAGTCAGGCAGGGGGTCGTCTGTATTTGGGGAACTGCTGAGCTTCCCCAAGTGGGTGGAATGGGTGATTTGGGACAGCTGCCTCATTGCTGCGGGACAGGGCTGTGGGAGGGGACACCAGAGCTTTGTGCTTTTAGCCAAGCCTTGGAGGCCAGCCAGGGAGAGGGGACCTTTCTAACAACACGATGTGTGGGAAAGACCATCTGGCCTTAGTTGCCAGGGAGTGCACTGACCTGGGAGAAAGATGGCTTCCACCCAGAAGCTGGAAGAGGCTGAAAGCAGGGATGCAGAGGAGGTCTTGCTTCTTTCCCAGGTGCCAACACCCATCACTGAGATGGAGATCTCCGTCAAAAGGGTAAGAGCCACTGCCGTGGCTGCCAAATCCTCCTTCCTCCGGTCTCCTTAAGTTTCCCTGAGTCCTGCTGTTTCCCAGTAGGCCCTGGGGCTGCCTGATTAGGCCCTGCAATGAGGGTTGAGAGTTCAGCTGGGAGCTGAGATTCCCATGCACGAAACCCATGGGCAGTGGGAGGCCCTGAGTAAGTGAGCCTATGTTCAGATAAGGGGAGATCCAGAAAGTCCAGCAACTCAGGGCAAACAAAAACGTGCTTGAAAACAGGATCCAGATTTTACATCAAACAGATTTTAGAGACATGCTGTGTGTCCTTTTGCAAGTAGCAAAATCTCCCCAAGTTCATCTGCCCCAGTTTATCTTTGGGTAAACCTCGACTTTTGTGCTAGGACTGCTCAAGGCAGAGTTCACCTCTAAAGCCAGAGGCGAAGCCCCGCAGAGAAAAGACCCCGGATGTGCCCCATCTCCTCCATGCCCTAGCATAGGATCCGATGCAGATCAGGAGGGTGATAAACATATTTTGTTCTGGGAATGCACTCAAGAGGTTCTGGAAGACTCTTGCAAATGTCAGGGGTCTCAGGAGCGCCCAGGGGGCTGAGAGCCTAGCTGCTTCTGTGTGGAGCACATGCTCACCTTGGGATCTGCCTGTGTCCCTTCCAGCAAATGCTGTACGTGGGCTCAAGGCTGGGTGTGGCCCGGCTGCAGCTGCACCAGTGTGAGACGTACGGCAGTGCCTGCGCAGAGTGCTGCCTGGCCCGGGACCCCTACTGCGCCTGGGACGGTGCCTCCTGCACCCGCTACCGGCCTGGCACCAGCAAGCGCCGGTTCCGCCGCCAGGACATCCGGCATGGCAACCCTGCCCTGCAGTGCCTGGGCCAGAGCCAGGAGGGTGAGCCGCGGAGGGCATGGGGGTGCCCTCTCACAGGGCAGCCAGTCACCCCTGTTGAAGTGTGGCCTCAGGCTGGTCCTGTAGTCACAAGCAGTCCTCAGTTTCTCTATGTGTGTAACTCCTGTCAGCATATGGGTGCAGGGCCTTTGTGTAGAGAGAAGGGCTTAGGGATCAGTAGATGCCTAGTCCCTGTCACATTCATGTGGGGTCCTGGGTTATGGGAGTCAGTTGGTGGTCCTGGGGGTCTCATAGTTCCCGAGCTGAGCCCACTTCCAAATCTCCCCCAGAGGAGACCGCGGGACTCGTGGTGACCAACACGGTCTACGGGACGGAGCACAACAGCACCTTCCTGGAGTGCCTGCCCAAGTCCCCGCAGGCTGCCGTGCGTTGGTTCTTGCAGCGGCCCGGGGACGAGAGGCCTGAGCAGGTGAGTGAGGACCTGGCTCCGGCCTGCATGTGTCCTAGGTCACACCCCTCCCTGAGCTCTTGGGGGGACCCTGCCAAGATCAACTTAAGAAAAGTGTGTATCAGGCCCCTGGAGGTGCCCCTGCTCCTGCCATCTGGGAACACCCAGGCCAGATGTGGTGGAACTTCTCCAGTGACAGACAGCCCACAGATTCCACGGCACTGGGCTGGGCTCTGTCTGACAGGGCATAGCAGCATAGCAGAGAGGGAAGCGGGTCTGGGCTGGTCAGGAAGGTCCCTATGCTAACACGTACGGCTCATCTGTGACGCGGTCTCCTCCTCACGGTCCTCTTTCACCCTAGGAGGCCTGGGCCCCTGACGGCTGGCCCTTGCACACACACCTCCACCACACACACATGCACACTCACACACACACACACAAGCACACACTGCCTGGCCCCTCACTTCCTCCCTAGAGTCCAGCTGTCTGCCTAGGCCCTCTCCTCCCCCATCCAGAAAAGTCTGTCAACCCCAGAGATGGCTTCAGTCTGGGGCCTGAGCTTGGGCGTGGGCGGGGCAGGGTGAAGAACCATTCTCAAGCTGCTCAAACGGATAGGGAAGGGAAGGGAGTGGGTTGATTACAGGAGGGGCTCTCCTCCCAGCTTGAGAACTGGGGGAGGCCAGCCTTGGGCCAGCTGTCGGGCTGGGCACTGAGAAGTCTCCCCGGGAGGGCAGGGGCAGGGGAGCGATGAGATGAGTTACACAACACTCACCACCCAAGCACTGCAGCCTCAATGTACACACGTGCGGACCAAAGCCCAGACAGGGTCCAGGCCAAAGACAGGTCAGATCAGGACCATGCTCTACCTCCTACACTGTGATGGGCCTGTGGGTCCTGCAATGTAAGGGGAGTGAACAATGCAGACCAAGACAGGGAGAGCTCTGTACGGTGTTGAGTGTAGAGGAGTTCTAGTCCTGGGGCTGAGGGTATAGCCCCGACTTGAGAAAAAGCCCATAAACACCCATTAACCCTCTCTGTTCTCTGGGAATGTGTGCCAGGGGCCCCCAAGGCCAAGATGGGGGCTCCAGAGCTCTGACGACAGGAGAAACCAGTCAATTAAATCTTTGAGAAGCCCCCTTTGCAGGCCCTGTCCTGGGTTCTGGGAAAGTGAGGCCCCGCCAGCAGTTAGTTTAGTCAAGGACGCTGAGCCTGCCAGGCTGCTGGGAAGGGGAGAATGAGCCCTGAGATGGCAAATGTGGAAAAGCAAGGGGCAGAAACGTTGATGGGGTGAGTGCTGCTCCAGGCGCCCTCACGCCCTCCAACACCTCCAGCAGGTGAAGACAGACGAGCGCGTCCTGCAAACAGGGCAGGGGCTGCTGTTCCGCAGGCTCAACCGCCTGGATGCCGGCACCTATACTTGCATGACGCTGGAGCATGGCTTCTCCCAGCTGGTGGTCCGCCTGGCTCTGGAGGTGATCGTGCCTGCGCAGCTCGACATTCTGTTCCCCCGGGAGCCGAGGCCAGAGGAGCCCACAGCCCGAGGCGGCCCCGCCTCCCCCCCCCACAAGGCCTGGTATAAGGACATCATGCAGCTCATTGGCTTCGCCAACCTGCCCCGGGTAGATGAGTACTGTGAGCGAGTGTGGTGCCCCTCCCGCAGCCGCAGCCGTGGCAAACAGGCCAAGGGCAAGAGCTGGGTGGGGCTGGAGCTGGGCAAGAAGGTGAAGAGCCGGGTGCAGGCCGAGCGCAATCGGACACCCCGGGAGGTATGAGGCCACACAGAGGAGGGAGGAGGAGGGGGTGGTTGGGATGGGCCGAGTGGCCAGCAGCAGCCCCCAGCATCTCCCACCCACCCAGCTAGGGCAGAGGGGGCTAACGTGCCTGATGGCCTCTTAGAGATAGAATCTCTGTCCCCAGGCCCCTACCAGGCCACCCGCAAGATAGGCTGGGGCCTGATGGAGGGCCCTGTGTCCCAGGCCTGTTCCTTGTCCCCTCTCTGGGCTCTCAGTCCCAGGCGGGAGTCAACACCCTCTGGCTGCTGGCAACCCCAGTGGGTTTGCTATTTGTTCTCGAGCAAGGCTCCCACAGCACATTTCCGCTTGTGCCCAGGGGCAAGAGGGTTGGGTGGTTCTTACCCAGCCTGCAGAACAATGGCCATTCTGAGTGACCCTTAAAGTGGGTGTGTGGGTGCGGCTGAGGTGGTGTCTGGGCAGGGGGCCCTCAGGCAGACGAGGAGGGTGGAAGTCGCCCCTCAGCTAGCACCCTCTAAGAAGACCTACCCTGACTGAAGTGGGGAGGGAAAGTGGAGGCGCTGAGAAGGTGGAACAGCAAGAACCCCCTCCCACTTCGTGCCCTGATGTCTTGGTGATTGCCTGCCACTGCTCACACCCTCTTCTCCATCTCAAAATCACAGAAGCACAGACTGCGAGAGCTCCCTGAACCCCCCAGCCTAACTTCGCTGCTCTGGGTCCCGTTGCCGCCAGGCACGTTTCCTGGGAGGCCCACCCCCTCCTGATGGGATGGCCTCTCCCCACGGTCAGGGTCTCCATGTTGACGAGCAGGGAGCGGGTGAATTCTAGGAGAAGCTGTCCCTCATCTTTGTGGACTAGTAGGTAGGGAGAGGGGAGCTGAGGTATTTAGAGGAGTGGGCTGTCTTTCCAAGGGTGACGCAAGCTTACGCACAGCCTGGGAGGGTGGGGATGTGGCGGTTATGTGAGCAAGCTGTGTGGTGAGGACAAAAGGCAGTGCTTTGCCTGGGAGGCCACAGGGGACTGAGATGGGGAGAAGTCAGGAGATCCTAGGACCAGCCACGGGACCCAGGAGCAGGCATTCTCAAGGCCCCAAGAAGGCATCAGTCAGCCCAGCAGCCAGAGGTTTCCCACCCTAGGATCTTTGGTTTCTGCTAAATAAGGTTGTTTGTCATGGGTGGTTCATTTATGAAGTCTATATTTTTCTTTTAAGGGAGAAAATTGCAGGGGGAAACTGCTAAGGCCTGCTGGTTCCTGGGGGTGCTGCTGGCTCAGGTAGCCAGGACACATTCTGTCTGGGTGTGTAGGGAGGTGTTTTTGCCATCAGCAGTAATGTGTTTCTTGGGCTGGGGAGCATGGAGGAGGAGGAGGACTAAATGAAAAGTTGTTCGCAGCCTGAATATGAACAAGTCAGTGACGCACAAAATGGACAGGAGGGGGACAAGGGCCTCAGGTTCAAGATTCCCTCCATTAAGAACCAAGATGAAGGAAAGGGGAAAAAAATCATAAAAAGACAGGGCTTCCTGCCCCCCTGAACTCAAACCCAGACTGTGTCTGCCTTGGGTTGTATCTGAGCCCCACCTCCACTCCCCACCTCCCAGTTCCTACCACCTCTAGACAACTGGGATCTGAAATAGGCCCCTTCCCCTCTTTGCATGGTAAGTGAACCAGATGTGTACTGAGGTTAACCTGACAGCACTTTGGGAAGCCTCCAGCCAGGGGCAGTTGTGGCTGGGATGTCAGCAGGTAAAAGCAGAGGAGGAGCACTGTGGGGAAGGGGCGGGAGGAGAGAGGAAGAGAAGACAGAGGCTGTGGAAGAGGGTAGGGGGAGAGCCCAGAACCCCAGGCTGCAAGCAGCTCTGCCCTGTATCCGAGGATTTTTCAGTGACCACTAGGCTGGGTCCCCAGGGGAAGTTACTCTGGAAAACGGAGGGAGGAGTTCAAAACCCTGACAAGGAACACCTGCACTTGGAAAATATGGACAGCTTCTACTGATCTCCACCCCGTCACCCCCATGGTACCTTGTGTTATTCACTCCTGGAAATGCCTCTATGTGTGAATTCTATTTTTGTATTCATCTGTCAAGATGGGCCTCGTGGTTTCTCTGTCTTCAAAGCACACTTCTCATAATTCCCATTGTTTTTTATATCGTCACCACCCCTGAGCGCTGGTGAGGAGAGTGCAGGGGTTTTCCACACATCCTACAGGGAAAGGGATGAAGCTAATATTTATATCATGTAATTATATCATTATTGTGTCTGTGTATTTCTGTACTAAATTGACTGATGCCATTCATGTGAGCTGTAAATGAGGGGCCTTCCCTGTCCATTCCAGAAGGGCAAACCCACCCTGGGTGGTTTTTTTCTAAAAGGCAAGGAGATGGGTATCAGAGGAAGGAAGAAGTCAGAGGGCTTTGCCTATGAAGCTGAGATTGCTTATTAAATTAGGAAAATCCCATCCCATGGGCTTCTGAGACTTCTTGGAACTTCAGGAAGATGTTGAGCCAGGAAAAAAAAAATGCTGGCAAAGGGCAGCTGGCACGTAGGCAGCCCTGCTCCTTTTTCACAATAACACTTGACTTTGTGACAGCAACACTTGGCCTGGCGCCTGTCTTCATCAGCCACATACCAAGGTATATTAAGGCCACTGTGCTCTTGCTGGCAGGGGTGGGGGGGTAGGGGGGGCCAGGCTGTGCTGTGGGAGCTGCAGCTTTGGGAGAGGAGGGGGAGCCCCTGAGTCTGAACTACTGTGCAGGCTGTAGGAGGCAACTCTCCCCCAGCCCCACTCCCCACCGTGACATCGTGACCCTGCCCCAAGAGCAGACTCCACTGGTGCCAGAGGGAGATAGGAAAAGGCAGGGTTGCTTTAGAAATGGGAAGGACATCACCCCAAGTCACCACAGAGACTAGCCCCTTGCTTGAATGGGCCCTTCAACCCATGCTATGGACTAGTAGAATTAACAGTCATCAGTCATTAGTCCCATCTTGCAACCCCGGCCCAAGTGCAGGAGCCCTGCTTTTGCCCCCTGAACTGTGCACAAGTACCCAGGCCTCACAGAAAGTAAAACCCTGTTGCCCTGCCCCAGGCCACCACTAGCATCTGAAAAGTGCTGGGCTGGGTGGGTGTGTGAATAGGAGGGGAGCCCCCTTCTCCCCTGGGATGCATGGTATCTCTGCTCCCACATCACCACCATTCATTCCCTGAAGACCCCTTGGGCCTGGACTTCCCTCGGCCCCTCACCACCCCCACCCCCCTACCCCCCCATCTGGAGCCCTATTTCCTGCCTCAGGGGTTTCACTCTATCTTCCACTCCCAGATTTTTCCTTTAAGTCTTATACTTCCCCTGGTCTTTGGGCCTGTTTCATGATTTCTTAAACAGGTCTAGAGCTGGAAAGGGTCTTCGAGAAAGGGGTTAGTCAAATGACATCCAAAATGGTGTCCTTTGGAACAACTGTCTCATGAGATCCTTGACAACATTCAGATAAACACGGGATTTCTGTCCCCTTAGCCCCACAGAGCCGTACACTGCCTGCTTGCTTGCCTGAGGAACCCACGATGATTCCTCATTAACTTGCATGTCTACTCTGTGGTATATGATCTTCCAAAACATGTGGTCCTCTAACCACCCCCTTTTTTTTCCCCATGGAGCAGCTGCCATTTCATGTTTCTAATGTTTTGAAGAGCATATTTCAGGGGAAATGCTGGTTAGATTAATTCCCTCCCTTTACATGTGAGATTAATTAATTAATCTCTGCCTTCTAAGCCTATAAGCTCTGGAGGCTCTGACTTCCCAGATGGAATAGACACATCTTGGTTTCCCATGGCCAGCACCACAGCAGGACCTGACACCCCATGGCTGCCAAGCCGCCGGTATGCTGTTCCTGGGACCTGGACTCTGCCCTGCCTCTGGCTCCTGTCCTGTCACACCCAGCCTGCCTCCCCAGCCCACTTCCTGCTCCTCTTGTGTCTGGCATGGTCCTCTGTGGAGGGTTAGGGTTCACTCCAAGCCTGTGGCTGTCCTATAGTCCACAAGACTAGTTTCTAAGCAAGGGTAAGGGGCAGAGTGGGGGCAGGATGAGGGAGGAAGACAACCGTTTTCACTGTCTCAAAGGGCTCCTTTGCTAAGCTGGGGTCAGGTCTCAGACACCCTCAGAATTCCCTGACTGTAGGAGTGGGCAGGCAGCAGCCATCAGGAGGCAGGTCTGACGCCTGCCAGGTTTTCCTCTGTGTGGGCTGGCAAGGACCCGGGATGTGGTTGGAGTGAGGTGGGTCTCACAGGGCTCTGCAGTCCAGCAAACTGAGGTGTCTCTGATCAGCCACGTCTCCTTAGAAGTAGCAGACAGCTGCTCAGGAATAGACCAGTTTTCACCCCAGTTAAGGATCTACCCCAACCTCACTCAAATCCCAGCCTGAAGGGGCTCTGGCGAGGAGAAAGTTCAACACACGGCAAGATCAAATCCCCGGGGGATATCTGAGATTACAAACTTGGCCCTGGTGTGCAGAGAGAATGAATGGGTGGGGCTAGGTTTGGATATAATACCTGATAAGGAGCTCAAGGATTGTTAGGCCTCCACCCTGGCTTCTCTTCCGGACGCACCCACCCTCCTGGTGCACAGCAGATGAAGAAAGTGGCCCCGTGCCCACTTCCCACTGCTCAGCCCCAGCCCGCCTTTGTGAGGGTACCACTGCTGGCCCCCCCTTCCCTAGAGGCCGTGTCCTAACGGAGCCTTTCACTTTCCCCGCTGGATTTTCATTAAGGAAACTTCTGGTTCCTCAATGTAGCCTATTAAAAAAAAATCATTTTCCACTGAGGATGGGAAATGCTGCAGTCTCTAGGGAGGCCTAGCAAGGGATGCCCACCCTCATGCTCCCACTAGGCCTCCAGCAGTCAACTAGTAGCTTGTACTCAGGAACTCTGCCATGAGGATGGCTCAGGAGGCCAGTCTTAATTCCTATCCCCTATAGAGGAAAATGACTGGAGTGCACCTAACCCATCCCAAGGGTATATTTCACTGTCAAGAACATCCCACTGTGCAGAGAAGGAAGACCAGGGCAAGGACACAGCCGCAGGCAGGAGAGGATTCCACAGTGAATCAAGGGGCCCAGAGCAGAGTCCAGGTGTCTGCCATCAAATGGAGGAGACAGTACTAGAGACTTAAAGCCCAGATTTCCGAGTTTGGGGGACAACGGGGGCTCCGTTCTCATAGATAGAGGTATGGAAGAATGATGTGGCAGACCAGCAGCTTGCTTTATGGGCATGACCTCATCTGTTCACTCTGCCTGCCCCCGCAGCTGATAAGAATCTGGTGCTGTTTCCTGTAGTCCAAGGGTCTCAGACAATGGTGTGAACGGCTGGCCCTACTGGAAAGGACATTGTTCAGAGAAGAAAAAACAACACACTAGCACAAAGCGGAGCAGGATCTGCCTGAACGTAAGGGCCTGTTTACAAATCTGCCATTTCCAAGTAAGGGGACACAATGGGGAATTGTTTCTGGAGGGGCTAGAGTCCCCTCCAGAATGCTCCTGGGGGCTGGGGATGGCTTTGATGGCCCAGACAGGTCTCAGATGCTCTGTGAGGGACGGACACTGATGGCGCACATGCCTTCCTGTTTATCAGAGGTGCACTTCAGGGCAGGCTCCAGGAATGAGTTTACACCCAAGACCAGGGGGGAGGAGCTCCTGGGCTTCACTCCCTCTACTCAGGCCTCATACTCAGGGATGTCAGGGGGCTGGAGGTGGTTTGCCAGGGAAAGGTGAGATTATTTTCTGAAAAAACATTAACTCTTTGGTTTATGGCCTGCAATTCCCATTCTGCTTTTTGGAAAAAATGTACAAGACATGAGACCCTTGCAAATAGCCACCCCCTCTGCAATGGGGCTCCCTGGCTTGGTCTGTAAGGGAGCCTTCTCACATCAGGAACCCTGTGATGCTATAGCCTTCAGCCTTCAGGCAGTCTGGGAGCACACAGGGGGCTGATGCTATGTCCCTGGGATCAGGGCCAATGGGGTTGCTGTTTCTCATAACAACCTCCTGCTCTGTCTACAGGAAGTCAGAGCCTTTGAACCACCAACCAAAGACCCTGATCTGATGTCAGAGTGTGTGTGTGTGTGTGTGTGTGTGTGTGTGTACTCAGCAGGAGGGTAGGGCAGAAGAGGAAAAGAACCATATTACTTAATTCCCTTGGAATTGGGAGATCCGATTTTTAGGGGTAAGGGGAGGGCAGCTGCGGTTAGGAAGATCACTTTGGGTCTAGAGAGATATGGAAGGCAGTCCTATCTAAGGACCTGACCTATGATCCTAAGCTCATTAGTAACTTAGAAGTTACTGTCATGTCTATACTAATCTCTAAATATAACAGGGGCACAGCTCATGAATAAACTTGAATGAATGTGTTCAGAACACCTGAATAGCAGTAAGTCCTGTGCAATCCTAAAACAGAAGGAAGCTTTCCTAAGCCTTTCTCAACCTTCCATGTGTAAAGGGTTAGAATCTTCTTCCTCAACGTGCTCACAGTGCCCTCTGGTGTTTGACAGTAAAACAACAGGTTTATAAACAGGATTTGAGCACATCCAATAATCCAGGTGACATCAAACTGACTCTGAATGTGGGGTCCCAAGCCAGACACCATGAGGGGGAGAAAAGTTAATAAGATAGACAGGTCCCTTCCTATCAGGGACTTCCGATCTAGAGGGAGAGACAATTATGGGACCGGATGGAGAACAGCACAGGCTATCACAGGGGTACAAGCAGAGCTCAGAGGGAGTGCCAAGGTGTGAAGAGTGGCCCTCACACTGGATTCATCAGGCTAATGATAGAGGTTATGACTCTCTATACTCTAAGCCTCGTGCTCAGGGCCCATTATGCCAGGGTAGCCATGGCAGAGTGCCCATGAAAGACCCTAGATGGGGATGGGGGACCGGGATGGGGAATACATGTAAATCCATGGCTAATTCATTTCAATGTATGACAAAAACCACTGCAATGATGTAAAGTAATTAGCCTCCAACTAATAAAAATAAATGGAAAAATAAAATAAAATAANTGGAATAAAAAAAAGAAAGACCCTAGATGTCCATCTCAGTGGGGGCCATCCTAGTAAAGAGTTAGCAGATGTTTTATGGCAATTACAGAAGGGAAAAGGATAGATATGTCAGCAAAGCAAGTGGATGTAGGAAACCATACAGAGAGAAGGCTTTTGCTGTCATCCTGTGGGGCACAAGGGTCTGAGCTGAGCATTGGCCCTGGGATGGAGAGGAAGGCAAACATGTAAAAAATTCAAATTGACAAGAAAGAGGGTGGTTGAGCAGAAAAAGAAACATAAGGAGATTCTGAAGTTTCTCACCCTAGTTCATGGTTCCCACAAAGGTAAGAATTAGAGGAAGGGGAGCAGGTGCTCTGGGGAAATTTTATTTGACGTCTATTCCTATTCTCCCCAAGTGAACTATTTGTTCCAGGTC